GCACGGCTACATCACCATTTGTTTTCATTACACAGCCAAAACAACCTCACCTGATGGAAAGACAGCGGAAGACCACAGTATAGATTTTGTGCAGTCACTATTCACATGTGAAGAGTGCAGCAAAAGACAAAAAACAAAGCTGCGCTGTCCACAGATTCTAAATTTCTGACCAGTTGATTTATGTGTACATTATGCCGTATATGAAAAATTCAGTCAAAATCGCTAGCTTGCAGGTCAAAGTGAGACTTCAGCAAGAGAACAAATGGCGCGACTCACTGCACCCCTCACATGTAGACAGTTGAGAGTCCATTTAACCACCTCACTATCATTTCCCGCCATCAAACTGTCTCAGGAGCTTCCCCAGGGTCGAAGTTAGCGGCAGCCCATTCTCCTCACAGTAATGTGTTTTATTGTCTGTGGACAGGCTTTGTGATAGAGTTATATTCTACAGGGATGAATCTTCTTTTCATAACCAGAGGCAGACAGGCACTTAAATATAAGTTTAAAAAAACATGTGGACCACAAACGACAATTGTTTTATTTTTGAACACGACACAAGACATTGTGAAGCCTTCTGCTATGCCTGAAGGAAATATTCCCTGAGCTGCATCAGCGTAAGCCCTATTGAAAAACTTTCAAATGGATTACATTAAAAACCGTTGTTTCTCTCTCACATACTAGAAAATGATGTGTAAATTAGAAAGACAGGCTCATACAACAGCCATGAAAAAGGATAAAGCTTGGATTCAAGTCTTGGATGAGGCAGTTATGGTATGGGATCCAGCAATGGGCACATTCAGTTAAGGGTTTACATAGGTGTGGTGTTTTGCTGAAGGTACAGTGAGAATATTAAATATGAACCAGGAAGTCCAGTTGAATTAATACATCTATGATTTTTAAAGAATGTTTTCTAATGCAGCTACTGTTGAAGTGCCTAAAATGCACATGGTGGTTACAAAAGAAATGTTTGTAACCAAGAAAGTTCTATCATATAGTTACTGTAGTGTGTAGTAAGTAAGAATTACAAAGAGCAGGGGTAATAACAACAATATTTTCTAAACAAACTATCAACACAAGGCCGTCTTACTTGACCTTAAAGCTGCAGAAGTAGTGCTGCTCTGTGACCATGTTCTGTGATTGATTTTAACACAATTTAAAAAACAGATGAATGTAATCCCAATATTATTCTACTACCTCGAAGGAGTTGTGCGACATGCAGATGAACAAAATAGTGACATGAATGTGAAAGAGTGGTTTGGGCCCAATCCCAATGCCCCCCCTAAACCCTAAACCCTCACAGACGTAACTGATGTCACCTGGTAAGTGATTGAGTGTAAGAGCCTGTGAGGGCCCAGAATCACACTGAAACACGTTGCACACTTTATTTTATATTTTTGTCTGAAGTCCTGCAAGCGCTTGCCCTACTGAGTGGAGGAGAGGTACATGTCAATCTGCATTTGTCAGTAATCAGTGCATTACTGTTGGTCAAAATAGAATCATCAAGCAAAAACTAAAATAAACCGTTGAATAAACCCCTCGTTTGTAATGTTTTGGGATTGCTTATACTACACGTTGTTTTACCATTCAACTTTTCCCTCTGCAGAGAAGTAGGATGTGAAGGCCTCCCTAATCCTGATAGCCTCTCTTGCTGAGTTGTTGGCAGCAATTCTTCCCAGACGT